CCCCAAAACCCCAAAACCCCAAAACCCCAAAACCCCAAAAACTTCACTTAAAAATAAATTTTTAAAATGTCAACCTCTTCTCTACACACTGACCGATCAAGTCTTAAGATATATCAAAGAAAAGACAAAAGTGAGTTTTCTTCCCAGCCAAAAGTATTGATATCAGCTTAAAACACTGCTTAAATATTCATCTGTTAGACTCCCGAACAGTTTAAACTCAGCTACAAATTTTGTTGGAATGCTAAAATCGATATTACAAATTACCCATAATTCCTACACCTCTAAGTCCACGTCCCATTTCCTGCTCCATCCAAACTCTTTCTTGTCCAGAACAAACTAGTCTTCGGCTGCTGTCTAGGGTTCTTCTTGTTTTGGCTAAAACTTTAATTTCTTCCTAAGTTTCTTGTGGAAATTACGTTAAATCCTTTCTGGCCAATTTCTAGTAGTTCAAATAGAGGGTTTGGGAACTGCCTAGGTTCCTTTTGAATGGGGTTTTGGCTGATGGTGCTTGGCACAGGTGGGCTGGGTGGTTAGAAGGGTAAAGGGGTCAGAAGGGTTTTCAAGGGGGGTTAGGGATTTGCGCCTGTTTTAGCTTGATGGGGTTGTTTTGTTGGACAGAACTGGGATGGGTAAAGGTAGATTTCGAATGGAGGGTTTATAGGGGATTTGGATTAGTATTTAAGTGAAAAATCACTTCTTTGCATTGGTTAATGATTTTATTGGCAAAAATAATCAATTTAGATACATATAAAAGCAAATAGCTTTTGGAGAAACTTATCAGTTTTATTTAAATAGAGATAATACAAAGGTTTTGACTGGAATAATTGTTTTATGTCCTTTGAATTTAGAAACTAAGCATTATTTTATAGCAAAACGAAATAACAAGCCGGCAAAATATTCAAAACTAAAGAACTATCATGAAAAATCTACCAGATTTTGAGATGATGAATCGATAGAAATAGATTACAGTGTAATGAAAGATTTAATCCAAGAAGAGACACGAACATTGCTTCAGGAAAAGGTAGGATTGCTTATAATTTGGTAGCAAGAGCTGGTAAAAGAGCTAGAAAAGGCATATAAGACCATTGAATGGTATAAAAAGGAACTTCTCAGCACAAAGCATAAACTTAAGGACACTTTAGTGCAATTATCTCAGTCTCAATTGACTTCTACATCTGCGACTCCAGCAAGTATAGCTAGAGAGCATGATGAGAAGATTTATTTCAATGATACTAATTTATAAAATGTAAAGAGTCGATCTACAAGTTTAACGAGACAACGAGTTCTTTTTCGTAATGCTCTGCATAACCTATAGAATGAGTGATCATCCTTCAGTTTATTCAGAAAATCTAAATAAATCTCCTGAGAAGTGCCTAACCTCGGAGACTGAGTCAATTGATACAGAGAATAGTGTCGGATTTGAGGAGATGAATTATAACTCCAGTGGAAATAACGTCCAGAACTTCAGCAAATATTCTACGAAGAAACACGTTTTTAACAAAGTTCCTAATTTAGGTAAGACTGTAGCATAGAGCCTCAGTGTCTTATTCACTATAAGTTTTCAGAGAGTAGTGTTCTCTGGTGTTTAAGGAAGAAACCTAGCCGAGAAGATATAGAAAAGCTGATTATCTCATATTTTCTATAAGAGATAGGCTTCTCTCTGGAAGATGAATAAAGACACACTTTCTGAGAATTAGAACTTTAAATGAATTAGATTTTTTAGAAACAAATGTATGATTTACAAATAAAAATATGAAAATTTAATAGGGATGGATATAAAATAAAGAATATAATCCAAAATTAAAGCCTAAAATTGTATCTTAGAGGCAAACGTCCAAAAGTTCTTTAAACATGATTATTATATTTACTGGGAGAAAGCCTTAGCGTCCAAGCCTAAAAGTGAGACTTTATCTGAATAAACTGATAGAAGTCTATTCGGTAATTTTATTGACCAATTTTCTACTATTCTCTTCCATTTTCCTTAACCATTTGGAACTCATAATTTGGGTTAGAATTAGTCTGAAATCTGGAGTTGAAAATTTGTCTCTTAAAATTAAGACATTACACAGAAAATCCTAGCATGGAAATTAGCTTGGGTATCAAACTCAGTTGTTAAACTCTCAGTAATAGCTCCAAGGGTTAATTCTGGATAAGTGAGGAACTCCAGATGTTAAATCTTCTTGAAATCTAGCTCTTTTCATGCTTAACATGTGCTATCTAGTTAACAACAAAGTGCAAGATTATCCTTTAATTTGCCAAGAAAGTGATGCTATCTCAGAGAAGACACAGTCTTTGTGGTGTGAAGACAGTGCTTTCGGCAGCGAAAACTGAGAAGAGCAGAAGGACTGGGGAGATCCAATCCCTAGAAACTCATCCGCTGCAAGGTAAACTAGAGAGAGAATGTATTAATACAAATTAGCTTCTGCCTTATTTACCTCCTTGAAAGCGAGTCATGCTGGGGCTTTTGAAATTTCTGGTAATTTAGGATACAAAAATTTAACAGAATTCTAGAGATACTGAGCAAGTTAGCGTATTTTTATTTGTTTATTAGTATATCATTGATCGGATATATTTAATACGTTCTATAGCTTGCCAGCGAAAGAAAAGAATAAGAAAGATGATATACAGAGATGAAGCTCATTAGCAGCTCTCCTTGGTACAAATAAACAACCATCTCAGAAAGAAAGATTTGTTTTGAACCAATATCTCTACGAAATCAAAGAAGAATCTGATGATAAGTTTAAGAAATTCATGGAAAAATTAACCATTCGGCAAGCTCTTAAGCAAGAAGATGTTATCATCGAAGAAGAGGAAGAACATACTAAGAATATCCCAATGTCAATGTATTCTGCTTCTAGGTATGAATCAATCCATTCACAAGATTCATGTCCAAGGGTTAATATTCCTCACAGGACTCGGAGCAGAAATGAGAGAGTTCCAGAAAATTCCCAAACAGAGACGTACGAACTCTCTCAAAGAGGGACCTTTAAGGAGGATATAGCCAAGCCATTCTCTAGAAATAGGATGGGGAGGAAAGCAAACCCGGTTTTCAGAACTTTCCAAGAGGATTATCTTGGACAACTTGAATAAGTCTGCTAATTTTCAAGGTTTCTACATGTTCAATTACTATCAAATTATTTGGGGTTTTGGGGTTTTGGGGTTTTGGGGTTTTGGGG